AATGCCGATATTTTATTTGGATAATCTTTATCGATCACCATAATAATTTTAAATTATATAAAACGTTGAAAATAAAAAAAAATATTATCCCAAACGCATCTCGCGTAAGCCCTAGAAATTACTAGTTCACGGTGTTACGAAGTTTCCACTGCCTTATCAAGTTGCCGTTTGGAAGTTTCCAGTTTCTATAGCGCTATAGAACCATTAATTACACCTGAGAATTCGAATAGTATTTGATCTAGTTTCGGCAACACACGTCACATTCATACGATACTCAGTTTGTGTTCAGTTAATATTGAGATAGCTAAGAGCTTACGTCGATGCTCTAATAAAAAAAATCTAAGGTAAAACTCAGTACAGACGGGTGTTAGTTCCTCATGATTTAGCAAACGAAAACTGTGGATATAATAAAATTGTTGAATTGGGATAGATTGGTCATATCAAAAGCGTCGAATTTGATGATACAAAATAGATTTTCCTAATCAGTAAGAGCGTACAACACCTCATCGCACTGTAAGCTTCTGTGCCAAAAAAAAAACTATATTGTCCTTGTATCCAGACGAGCTTACGACCCACCTGGTGATGAGTGGTTACCTTCGTTCATGGACGTCAAAAATCCTAGAGGCATAGCTAAGCCGCCGCCTACTACTAAGTACTGTATCATTGTTATTAAATGCCAATAATCTCAAAGGGATTTGAAAAGAAAAATGTGAACGAATATAAAAGCACAAGAGGGTTTGTTTAACAATTCTAAGTAGCGAAGCTTTTCCGTATCATTATCTCAATTACATTCCACTGAATATTCTAAGTCTCGACGAAGCCGGAAAGAGGAAAAGTTCACAGGTTAATTTGCCCGGATCTCTCGCGGAGATGACCTCGTGCTACACAGATACGAACAGAAAAACTGAAGCAAATTGAGACCATAAGGGCGTCGAACGCGTTACTATATCTGTTCCATCTTGTACACGTGTGACCTCCCACTGCTAAATTGAATTCAGGTAGGTCACTTAATGAAAATTGCTCTCGATTCAGATATCGTACAGAATTCTCGCTAAGAACTTTCGCAAGTCGCATGTTGGTTTTTTTGTTATGTCATCTCTTTATTCAGGTAAACTAGCATTGGTGCTTAAATATTGAAACCAGATGTTCACGATTTAAATATGGGTAAACGAATATTGGTGTGTTTGTCCAGTATGTGATGTAAGGCGATTAAATGAAAATGTTGACAATCCGGGGAATAACGGGGACGATAGATTGAAGAAATCCGATGCCTTTCATACAATTAAGCCATACAGACCGGGTTTCACTGGTACGATATAATTCATCATTTATCATTTTATCATTTAGAATGACTCTAATGTTAATAAGAAATATGCATTTAATGAAATCATATGAAATATTTTTTTTTTATTGCTTAGATGGGTGGACGAGCTCACAGCCCACCTGGTGTTAAGTGGTTACTGGAGCCCATAGACATCTACAACGTAAATGCGCCACCCACCTTGAGATATAAGTTCTAAGGTCTCAAGTATAGTTACAACGGCTGCCCCATCCTTCAAACCGAAACGCATTACTGCTTCACGGCAGAAATAGGCAGGGTGGGGGTACTTACCCGCGCGGACTCTCAAGAGGTCCTACCACCAGTAAGTAAAAAAACCAGATTATAAGAACAGTGCACAGCGTACATATTTCTTTATTTATTTGTAGATACTCCGATACCAAAAAAAAATCTTGCTTACATTTTTACAAGTGAGTTATGATGTCGCAATAAACTTGATAGAAGTACATTTTTGTTATACGATTTCATGATGCGACTTATCCGAGCTCATCGCCCGCATTCCCAATGGTAGCAACTGGAAAAAACCATTCACCTGTAGGCCTCAGATCTATATCAAAATGTTTACGAGTTGAAAACAGTATTTAAATAGATTAGCAACCATCGATGGTTATATGTAATTTTCTAAGCTATCTGTGGATGCACTGACTAAGGATCGTTACGGAAGCTACTTAGAAAAAAGGTATTTCCAATAAAACAATGATGAATTTGCATGATAATAATTAAGATTAGCCTAATAGTTTTTGCGGCGTTAGATTAATGTAAGGCTTGTATCGTGATTTGTAAAATGTGTTCACAAATTTTCCGGAGTTGATTTAAAATCTTTTTACGTCGGAAACCTTGTGAACATGTTTAATTATTTCTTGAGAGCTGTTGGTCAGGGCTCTACCTTGTCTACCACAAACAAGTCGCTGGACGTTTGTACTTGTTTAAGATACCTCAATTTTTGCGCTTGTGCTCTGGGTCTTGGCTTATTCTATAAGGATGAGTATCGATAGATGGGAAATCGCATTAGCCTTAGGGTACGTATCCGCTTGTAGTGACATACCGTGGATAGGTCTTTAGCGATTTAGTTTTATTGGTTCGAATAAAGTTAAAAAACCTCCTCGATATGTCATTGCAATCATCACCATCTCAGCCTGCCCGCTGCTAAACATACTCTCCAACTGATGTCCAGCGAGACCGGTTCATTGCTATCTGCATTGTGACCCAGCTGTTGGATGCAGGTGGCAATGAACAATGACAAGAAATGACAATTGTCATTGCATTAGTGATTGGAAATTTCATTGTCGTTTATCGAATTGCCAATTTGGCTTCAGAGGATTATTTTGTGAAAATTTCAGTGATAAAACAGAGTGTCAACGTTGTTTTTCAGGTTACTAGAAAGCATAAGAAGGTTACGTCGACAGAAAATAAAAGTAAACTACTCGATTTTTAAATAAGCTACTAGACAGTAGAAGGCATTATTACAATTCAGTTGAGATTTCAGTTACATGTTCTAAGATGAATGGTGAAAATTGTATAGTCACAGCTACCACTTGGCTTGTTTTAGTTTGGTATATGTATATGGACAAATAAACTTTTATACGTTGTTTTTTTACTTTCAACGCCATTAATGTTCGGATAATGTCAACAGAATTTCCCAACATGCATTCTGTGCTTCGCTTGTTATTTTACTGTTGAAATGTTTAAGAAATAAAAGCTGATTTGAGTGAAAGATTTTATAGACCTATGTAATAGAAGTTACGAAGGCGGGAAAACTTTATGGATGATCTCTCGCCCGCTTCTATCAAATCAAATCTGCCGTCACAACAAATCCGGTTTGTTGAATACTTAGCATATGTAGAGGACGAAAAATCCAATGTCTATTGATGTTAGGGGAAGAACGTTCATCTTGGAAAAGCATTCATAAAATGTTCGCTAACGCGATTTAAGTGTTTGTGGATCCATCCAACAGATGGATGGAAACTTTCTTGTGCAAATTCAACGAGTTCTATGTTATTTTTGCAGAAAACTGGGTCGGGTCTGTGTCGATTCATAAGCATCATAATGGAATGAAAGTTCAAATGCCCGCTCCACGTTCCCTCGAAATACGTTAGCACTAGAAATTTTAAACTTTATCGAAATGATAAATGTAGTTCTAGAAAAATCTGTTGGAAAATTTTCAAAAATAATTATGTGCAAGCGATTTTTTTGTTTGCTTAGAAAAGCAAATTAAATACGATTATTTTTGACAATAGTAGTCACGCTAGGGCGGACGGTTAGCGTGGTATGAACATGTGTTGCGTAGATAGAAGATGCATGTGACTAAGAGATGTATGGAAATGGTAGTGCAAGTTAGAAGGGGAAGAGGTCGACCGAATAAGACATGGATGGAGTGTGTGAATGACGATATGAGAGAGAGAGGAATGAGTGTTGAGATGACGGCTGATAGAAGAGAATGGAAGAGAAAAATTAGCTGTGCTGACCCCACCCAGTGGGATAAGGTGGAGAAAAGGAAGAAGAGAAGTCATGCTAGAGAAACGACTACAGCCGCAGGAAATAAGTTTTTGTGAAGTGACAAACAATAAAAACATTGATCCAACTGTGAAACGTGCGCAATGGAACAAAAATAATAGTAAAAATTCTATCAAAGTATCACAATACCCATGCATAGTCATTCGATTTAAACACATAATGTCAATCGTCTCATGAGATGCAGAATTTACCCCGCAGTTGTCTTAGCCTAACATTGGCTTGCCGTTTGATGAACATCAATAGATATTGAACAAGTCAGCGAAAGGGTACTATGAAGTCAAATATGACGGTAACACCACATTGCGCTTCCTTACTTATGTGGCGAAGCAGTTGAATTTTCTGGTATACGAAAAAACGATAAAGAGGAAATAATTCACTTCTTATAGGAAGTCTTATAGGCCGTCTGGTGTAGTGTTAAGTGACATGGTCACTACACAAGGGGGTCGCGGGTTCGAATCCCGCCAAGGGAGGATATTTGTATGATAAATATAAAAATGTCTTTTCCAGGGTTATGGATGTATATTAAATATATGTATGTGTATAATAAAAATATTACATTTATTTCCGTTATCTGGTACCTGTAACACAAGTTCTTTACGAACTTACCACGGGACCAGTTAACGTGGCGTGATTGTTACTAAATATTTAATTTTATTTATAAGACTCTTTTTATAACAGATAAAAAAGTTACGTTTACGCTGACATTATAACTGTGAAACTCAACGCTTAAAATTCGGTAGCACTGCACTAAAATATGAATAGCTTACGGAGTATTGAGTGAGAAGACTTGATTAATGGATCTAAGGTACATAGTTATCGTATTAAAATAAACGACACCGGACCACATGAGAAGTATAGGAAAATAACTAAAAGTCATTTAGATAATATTAATCGGTTTGTAGTTATTAGGAAAATTGTGATTTAATCGGTTCATTAATTTCGTGGCGGCCATATTTTGTGTGTTATATTTTGTATCAAACATTTTTCCGTTAACAGTAATACGTGATATATACACCTGGTAATAAACATTTAAATTCTTTTTATATTTCTATAATAATAGAAGCGCCAACGTATTTACCGCTTTGAATTTTTAACTCGACGTTTTCCGATACACTCGACGAAGCTTAGTACGAGGGACTATATTTAGCAAACGGTCGCTTTCGTACGAGGTTCGAAAAATGTTATTCAAAAAAAAAACGTTGCGATGTCTGTAAATTTTACTTCTACAAAACTTTTGACAGTTGATAACAGTGCTGTGATTTATTCTCATTTTAAATAAACCAAACCAAAAAAATAATAGTGAACGTTAAAACTGTCCTAATTTTAAAATCGATGTAAAGATATTTTTGAATTTTCAAAGAGTGACTTTAGATTAAAAGCTTTTAAAGTTCGTATAAATAACGACCATACCCTTTTAATCAGGTGAATTATCCAAAATGGGCTGTGAACTGACCAAAATGATTAAGTCCGAGCCCCATGATCTCATGAACCAGCCGCCACCGCCTTCGGATCCTCGATGTCCTTTGACCACGAAGCAGCAGTACTGCATGCTGGCTTCATGGAAAGGTATCTTCAGACAGATCGAAAAGACTGGCGTATTATTGTTTATCAAGTAAGTTTTTGAACGCATTCTGATAACCTAAATATTAAATAATTTTTTGAAACGTGTATAGTTTTCCTTATCAGAATATCGAATGGTAAAAACGGACTCTTGTGGATTATATTCGTGTATACAACAGTTTTTTTTTTAAATTATTATATAAAAGTATTTTTTGAAAAACTGTCAATTGTGCACCACCTTTTTGAATGCAAATGTATTCTAGTAGCCATTGCACTAGGGAATTGTTTAAGATAATTCTATCGTCTTCTTTTTCAATCGCGCCAGTTACTAGAGTAGATTTACTGGTGGTAGGACCACTTGTGAGTCCGCACGGGTAGGTACCACCGCCCCGCCTATTTCTGCCGTGAAGCAGTAATGCGTTTCGGTTTGAAGGGTGGGGTAGCCGTTGTGACTATTCTGAGACCTTAGAACTTATATCTCAAGGTGTGTGGCGCATTTACGTTGTAGATGTCTATGGGCTCCAGTAACCACTTAACATCAGGTGGGCCGTGAGCTAGTCCACACACATAAGCAATAAAAAAAACCAAATTATCTGGAATCACTACGTTTATTCACAGTGTCTTTGCCAGTGATCTTTTTAGTACGTCATCCTCTTGGAAATGTACTCCTCTCCATAGTGTTTCCTGGGCGATATGATATGTCCTTCTTCGAGTGAGGTTTGAGGAGAATATTCAGTGGTAGGCAGTGGCTGAACTGTATCCCTAGAATTTCAAAAGCATTACAAATTTATTAGCGTACCTCGTACATGTAACTGAGGGATTAATTAAATCAGTAACTTGGCTGTGCCCCTGCATTGCTGACGTCAGCGTGTGAAGGTAATCCCTCACCATCAGGCGGGCTGTGTGTTCATCTGCCTACTATGGCAACTAAAAAAAAAGGATGCACTGGTGATTCATTTAACAATGAATACTATTTTTGTAATACCTACTCCTGGTACCAAGGTCCTTGGCTCTAGGCTGGATCTAGGTAATCACTTTTTTTTCCTGCATAAATTGGTGGACCAGCTCACGGCCCACCTGATGTTAAGCAGTTACCGGATTCCATAGACATTTACAGCGTAAATGCCGCCACCCACCTTGAGACATGAGTTCTACGGTTCTAAGGACTCCGTTTTTACAGTACATCGGCTGCCCCGCCCTTCAAACCAAAACGCATTACTGCTTCACGGCAGAAATAGGCAGGGTGGTGGTACCTACCCATGCGGACTCACAAGAGGTCCTACCACTACTTTTGATAAACTGAGCTATTTGGCAATGTACGTACATCATTAAATAGTATGCTACTCACCACAGGGAGTAGTAGTTATAAACTTTATTTTCTTAATTCTATAAACGAGATGGAATGTCGATTGGGATGCTTTTAATCCTCGATCAGCTTAAATCCTTTGTCGTTGAGGGAGCGAATGTTCGTTGAAACTACTATAAAATCAGTAAACACAAAATACAATTTATGTTAATGAGGATTGAAAAGGGAGTCACACAGATGAAGCACTCACTAAAAAAAAATAGAAAGCGTGGAAAAAAAAACGTTTAACCAAGAGAGAAAGTGACAGTGAAAGTTCTCACCTGAAAGTTGGGAGCAAAACTGATCTTTTGAACACGGATAATAAGGAATTATAAAAAAAAAATCGGATTAGTTCAATAGCCTAAACTGTATTGCTTTATTTTGAAATTATTCTAGTAATATTACGTACATATCTGTTTAAAAGAAAAAAATACATAATGCATATTTATTATACAATTTAAAGATAACAAATCCACTGACTTTCTCGCCGGATCTTCTCAATGGGTGGCATTTCAGATCCGGTGGTAGATTCTGCGAAGCATTGCTCTTGCTAGGGTTAGTGTTAGCAACGTCACCATGTTTGAACCCCGAGAGCTCACCTACTCGCTAGGTTATGCTATCATAACCTCTCCAGGCTATGCTGGCGTAACCTAAATTTTACTGATGGTAGGACCTCATGTGAGTCCGCACGGGTAGGTACCACCACCGCGCCTATTTCTGCCGTGAAGCAGTAATGCGTTTCGACTTGAAAGGTGGGGCAGCCGTTGTAACTATACTGAGACCTTACAACTCATATCTCAAGGTGGGTCGCGCATTTACTTTGCAAATGTCTCTGGGCTCCAGTAACCACTTAACACCATGTGGGCTGTGAGCTCGTCCACCCATCTAAGCAATAAAAAAAAGAAAAAAGAGGCTACCCACTTAGGTAGGAAAAAAAGGTAACAAAAAAAACAAAAAAAAATATGGCAATGGCGCAAATTGTAAAATTTTCCTACCTAAAACTAACAATATCGATCTTGCTTATTTATAGCTACACTCAGCAACATTGACCGGCTGTTGATCCACCGATGCGAATGCACCTCAACAAAGGATTGACATGAAAACAATACATGTTCAAAATTATGATTAAAAAAACTGTTAAAAAATTATATACAAGACATAACTACTGAGCCGAAAATTCGACGATTTTCATATTATTTATCAATGTATTATAAAGACGGTACAAAATTTTTGAATTTAGAAATTTCTCGCGTTATTGGTCCTTGTTGCTAGATTAATTTGTATTTTGTAATCTACTATAGGGTTTAATTACATAGATTGATAGCTTAAAATATATAAAACTACTTTTTTACTGGTGGTAGGACCTCATGTGAGTCCGCATGGGTAGGTACCACCACCCTGCCTATTTCTGCTGTGAAGCAGTAACGCGTTTCGGCTTAAAGGGCGGGCCAGCCGTTGTGCTGTTAAAACTGAGACCTTACAACTCATGTCTCAAGGTGAGTGGCAGCATTCACGTTGTAGTTGTCTATGGGCTCCTGTAACCAATTAACATCAGGTGGGCCCTGAGCTCGACCACTCATTTAAGCAGTAAAAAAAAAGTATCAAGAATCAGTGAATATATCTGCTAGAAAATTATTCATGAAGCTCGAACCTCCAAAACTGAGCTCACAAACCTGGAGAGTTGGTTTCGTAACCGCTATCCAATGTAACCGGAACTGCCAGTCAAATGGATTTACGTTTTATTGTTGAATGCAAATTGTTTCCCGTACGTGACGTCAGATGTAAACACGAAGGCACGTACTATTATGGCTTGGCAGTGGGTCATTTATTTATTGGGTTAATCCTAAAATGTATTTTATCCGGTTATATTTAGTAACGGATGATGATGATTGCTTAAAAAAAATCCCTGCTGCAAACTTGCGAGCTTGGCCAGGCGCAACTTCACTTTGAATACATTTGGAGTCGAAATAAATGATGAGATCTTGTTTAGCTCCTAATTCACCAACTTGTGCATTGAGCAGTAGTCCAGACTACTGCGTCGAGGGTCGTCGATTTGACTCCCACTTTTTTAATGTTTATTCCTTAAACGAGTGGATGAGCTCACGGCCAACCTGGTGTTAAGTGGTTACCGGAAACCATAGGACAGCGCATATTCCAAAATCTGCGAAATTCTGCCTATAGAAATAAAGGCATGGAAATTGTAGTTGGATTTTTGATGCCTAAGTGTCTCGATTGCTTAACTTTGTCTTCTTTTATTTGTTAATGTACGTTTTAGTCTTTTAGGTCTCTTAGAAGTAGATTAACCACAGTATCGGCGGATTCGTCTTTCCCAGTCTTTTTTTTTTATTGCTTAGATGGGTGGACGAGCTCACAGCCCACCTGGTGTCAACTGGTTACTGGAGCCCATAGACATCCACAACGTAAATGCGCCACCCACCTTGAGATATAAGTTCTAAGGTCTCAAGTATAGTTACAACGGCTGCCCCACCCTTCAAACCGAAACGCATTACTGCTTCACGGCAGAAATAAGCAGGGTGGTGGTACCTACCCGCGCGGACTCACAAGAGGTCTTACCACCAGTAATTACGCAAAATTTTGCGGGTTTGATTTTTATTACACGATGTTATTCCTTCACCATGGAAGTCAATCGTGAATTTGTTGAGTACATATTTAATTAGAAAAATTGGTACCCGCCTGAGATTCGAACACCGGTGCATCGCTCAACACGAATGCACCGGACGTCTTATCCTTTAAGCCACGACGACATTAGTCTTTTAGGTCTCTTAGAAATAGATTAATCACAGTATCTTCGGATTCGCCTTTCCCAGAGTCTACTAGATATTCCAGCGCCTTAGTAGCAGAAATCATCATAATTACTTCAATGACGGCACCAGGGTCTTATATAGCAGTCAAGAGCTTAAGGCGTACAAAATAATTGCAAAATCGACCTCAAGTCTCAAGATGGATTGTGGTACTCACGTTACGATGTCCATGGTCGAGTCCATTAAAATACGTATCGAAACATTCCTAATTTGTGTTTTTTTTTTAAAGTTAAATCGGATATCGCTAACGGGTAACAAAGCAAACACTCCTCCGTTACACATTCAAAACAAACTTGATGAAACACGATTACTTGATATCAATTAGGAACTTATTAATGTACCATGACGCAACCGGAATCTGAGACATTAGGCCCTCAGCGTACGTTTTAAGGAGAATGCTAAAATTTAAGAAAACAAAGTCATTGCCTAAGGATAAGATAATCGTATTGGGTTCGTATCGACCGATTTGACTTTTTAGGTGTTCAAATATCACGGGCAACTCACCATTTTTCTACAGAATTACGTGTTTAGCACGTGCTCATATGTGATTCCAATGATGTGAGAATAGCGTCGTGGAAAAAAAAATCGAGACCGTAAAAATAATAAATTTGTATGATTATCGGTCTTTCCGGGTCATAGCCGGGGCTTACCGCAAGCACGCACGGGTAAATGCCACGATCCTGGCCACTTCCGCCGCGAAGAAGTCATGCATTCTGATCTGAAAGGGTTTCAGCACACACTAAATAATTGAGTCCTTTTCGATGCTACATATGTGCGTAGGCAGCGACAGGCAGTGGCTTAGCCGTATCTTATTATTTCAGATATGATCATACACCATCAAATGGACCGTATTTCCTCTGTCATCGAAGGCAATTAAAAGGGAAA